TATGACGAAAATTGGAAGATAATATGGGAAATAGTGCGATTATGGCGAAGAGACTGCGTGAATAGGTGTTTCCAAAGTAAAAAAAGGCTTCAAAAATTGTTCAAGGCTGGACGGGAATGAGACCGGAAAAATGAAGAAGAATAGGGCGTTTGGACGAGCTATACAATGTTCGTCATGGGTTGTGTACGTGTGGGTCGTGGTGCGAATAGCTGACTGCGGTAAGCGAAAATTCATTCACTTGTATGCATAAATTAGCAAAAAAACCCTAGTAACAGCAAAAATAGCCCACCTTTTTCTGCCTCATGGGGTAGAAAATCAAATAATGGTTCGCAGCAGCAAAAAGACAGAGAAGAAAAGAGTGGGGGAAGAGCATCGCCTCATTACTCGGCGACCAGCTGATTGTGTGTGGTCCTAGGACAAATATTCGCTATCTGTATTGCCTCGACATTCGTCTGGCGTGATATCGATCGAGAGGCGGGAAGTCCGGGCGATCCGGTGAGGTGCTCCCACTATGACCTAGCTGCTGAGTTTTTGCACTCGACAGCGTCGAGGACCAGCGCATCAACAAGATTCGTCTGAGTTAGAGGCGAAACGAATCATGTATAATGGATTCTCTAGTCATCTCTTTACCCTTCTTACTCTAATTTTCTCTATCTTTTTGTAATAATATAATCTAACACTAATATAATAGTAAGTACGAAACATTAGAACTTTCTTTCTTATTTCCTGTTACCCTTGGGGGCCACTGGGTATTCCTGAAGGGGGAACTCAGATGAGATTTTTATCGTGAACTGTGCTTTCAAGCCGTTGAATAATAAAAAGCCCACCTGAAAACCTTGCACGACAGAAGAATATTACCAACGCCGTGTCGAGTTTGAAGCAAGAGATCGGTTGAAGACATAAACATTACCTTTGCGAAGACGTGGACGATGTCGTCGGTAAAGACACTGATATCTGTCTGCACCTCCACTGCACATTTATTACTTCCCGTATCAGCATCCAGTATGAAGTGATGTGGAGCTTTCAATTGTCGAGCAACACGTTCAGCAAATGCATCGCTCAGAACTGTTTTGAGCGGTTCTTGTTCATCATAATAACCTGTTACCTCCTTCAGAAAAGCATACGCTAAAACAAAATGTAAGCGTTGTGTGTTATACTTATTTGTTAGCAGGTAGACAAAATTCCAGAGAATGGAATCACAGTTTAGGATAACAGTTACAACCGGAACTTGGCAAGTTTTTTTTACTTCTAATTGTGAGCCTTTTTCATTATCTAGTGTCTATCCTGCCTGTATAGAACGAGGTAACATTTTTTCATACTTGCAGCAAATCAGGTGTCTTAAATATCCGAGTTGGTGAGCCTAGATTCCCGAAAAAACAGTAACTTCAACCTCGTGTCGTAAAAGGATCAAGTAGAAAGCATGTGGAAGGGCGTGCAAGATGGAAGAATCGTACTCTCGGTCATGCTGGATGGTAGTAGATCCCTTCTGAGTCTAACCCAGATTCCTCCACCTCCACCAAGCCCGCACTTAAAAACAGCTTTCATACGTACATCTACTCTGTTACATGAGGTGACTAAAATTTCAGCATATACAGGACTTCAAGTCTTCACACACATGTCATTTGGGTTGTTTCACCAAATTTGCTATCCTGGAACCAATTCTCTGTTATAGCTCACGTGGGACTGATGACCGTTTATTTAAAAGGGACATAGTTCAGGACACCGTTCAGGTAGAGGATTCGATCGCTGCCACCTCAGCTCATAAGCCTTTCATATGCTCACCTATCAACTTTGCCAAATCCTTCGCCCTAAGTACTGCTGATCGAACGCGAAAGCTACAGAAAGGTTAGACTGTGTAAGGCAGAAGCGAAACGGGCTTACACTGTTCACCGATCCTTTGTGGAGGAATCCACGGGCTGCAAACATAACATCTGTCACTGTGGCAGTCGATCCAATGAAAGATCAGGGCGCGAGCTTCTTTGTGTTTTAGCTCTGTTAATCAAAAACTCTCTTTAGAATAGCGACTAAACAGCGTAAAAGTCACACAGTCTTCCCATTCAGGGCTGTAGTCCTGCCGCGTGTCCATATGGACGAGTATTCGCGTGGATAACCTTACGCTCAATGACACTCTTTCCTTCTTGGCGAGTCTATGGATCCCTCACTGCAAAGTTTGCCATACCCTGTGAAAGTACTGTTACTGTGAAATCATCCCAATCAATCATTCCATAGCATGTAACTATAACAGAAGCACAAAGATTAATAAGAGACCTTATTCTTCGGAGGAACCTTATCATCCTCCTACATAATCTCCTCTCACTCAATGATCTCTAGCCGGTTGGTGACGAGGCCTTCTAGCGCGATCGTAACTGGCGGATAGGTGAATAAATCCCTAGACCAGCCTCAGAAGTGCGGTCGAAGAGCATTATATCGAGACTCATAAAACGAGATGGCACGAACATGGTGAAAGAATTCGAGAGTTTATGGTTTCGACTAACATTATCCACGGTCATTCACTGTTCCAAAGCCCTTTTCATTAGGGAATCAGATTCTCCTATCGAAAGATTTGACTGTTTGCCTGACTGTCGTCGCTGTTGTTTCGAAGTTCTACACGTGATCGAATTCTCGTCTTCTCCTGGCTATCAGATTCTGCTTTCAGTGCGGTGAGAGAGAGAGTTGTAAAGTCTAGGAGACGAATTTCCATGGTGGCACCTATTGGGATTACTTCGCTTCCCTTGGGTTTTTGGGATGATTCCGCTATGGACAACATCGTTGAGGAATGTAATCGGCTCGTCAAAAGCCTTTTGTCCTTTTCGAAGACAGACGAGCTGATACCCCAGCTACAGGCAATCGCAAAATGACGTCCGAACTTGCGAAGAGAGAGAACAGCAGCAGGACTGGCCGGAGATGACCAGACTAGAGGATCAAATAAAACTTGTCAACAAATAACTTCGTTAGACACGATTACCTGCATACCTAGTATGTTAAACAAGATGGTTATTTCGCTACTTCATTTCTCTGCTCAGAAAATCCGACATGCTACAGGCAGATGAAGAAGAAGGGTGGTATGGCACCCGATCCAGATAGAGTTGAACCAGATTGTCTGAAGGGTCTTCCACTAGTTACCGTTTGGTTCATTACGCGGTATCTGAGTGAGACCAAAGAGCTCACTTCATGGAGAACCAGCAAAACTGTGTTGCTGTATAAAAAGGGAAATCAAGATGGCACTGGCAACTATGACACAATCTGCTTGCTATCTGCAATCTATACTCTTTTAAACGAGTCATCCTAAACAGGGTTGGCAGACTACTAGATAAAGGGCAGCCATATGAAGAAACAATGTTTCGGAGAGGGTTCACTGTAATCCATTACATTTACACTGCTACAAGGCTCAATGAAGATTGTGAAAGTAAAGAATGCCGTTATGTCTTACGTTCATTTTATGAAAGATAAGGGGCAATTGACGCCTTATGCAACTAAGGTACTCCTGTTCAATGCACGAAGATGCTTCGTAAGCTCTACAACTTCAAGACCATGATTTCTTTCAAAAGAGAAACAATTCTGCATGGAGGTCATTCTCACCATGAAGAGAGAAGTTCAGCAGGGCGATATAATCTCGCCCGAACTTTTCAATGCAGCCCATGAGAAAATCATGCGTTATTTGGAATGCTAAGGCATGAAAGTGAGGGCCGGCGGCAGCTACTTCATCATCTCCGCTCTGCAGATGGCATCGTGCTTATAGCACCCAACATCGAGCAGACGGAACAAATGCTGGTCGAATTCGACAACGCTTGAGGGAAGATCGCATTATGACTGAATTCAGAGTGGACGATTATCATGAGTAACGAATTGATGCCTAATGTTACTTTTACGCCAAGTGGAATGAATATCCTGGGTGCTTTAGCTAAGTGTCCTTGGGTGGAGAAGCCAATGTGATGAACGACCTAGCTCCTGAATCGAGCAACACTCAGAAAAAATGAGGAAGTTTCGAAAAAGAGAAAGAACATCCAGCTCCGCGCTCACCTTTTCGACAATACGATCCTCACTGCCTTATATACATCTCACTGTTTTGAACTCTACGAAATCAGGATGAACGTGTAGTCGGTGTCATTCACTCCTGTGGGAAGGACGATGCTCAGGATTTCGCTATACACGCAAGTGCAAGTGGGAGTTCGAAGTTGCGAGTTCCGACAACGAACGAAGATCGGGGATGCCAAGATATCGACATTCAGGTGGGCCGGGCAACTCATGTATACATATAGTGATGGCCTCGGGCTATGGCGGTTACCGACTGAATCCCTCGGGACTTCAAACAAATAGGGGCGGCGGTCAGCGCGATGATCAGACTTCTTCACTGGAGTTCTAAATGGGGGGAATGCTGTGCCACGGGTCTCTCGAGCGACAACGATCCATCCACTGAGGAAATCTGGCTCTCAACAGGAACGATTGGAGACGTTTCTGGCACCCGCACGAGGAAATCGATCACTTACAGGACGACAGACTATTTGTGTTCGAACATAAGATTCTCGTTAATTACGATTATTTTGCCGCACTGCGCGATACGAGGCTCACAATGTTGGCGAGTTGCGGGCAATCATTCGGACGCCAAAGTTTTCCCCACAACTCGCTGAACTTGTGCTTTTTGTGTTTCACGTATTTTACACACCTTACTTTATTTGTTATGTATTCACTGTTTCCTGGTAACTCAACGTGTATCCTATTTTTGTCTTGACTATGAGGAAGACTCCGTGAGCAAGAGGGATTCCTCTGGTGCCAGCCGCGCATCCTGCTGCGCCGTCCTTCCCAGGGTAATCCTCTTTTGGGAGTAGGTCGCTTATTGCAGCTCCACCACAGAAGCTGCATAGGCTGCCTCTGTGGTGGATCTTGGGTTCCTCCTACCAGCCTCTAGATCCTTGATGGGCTGTCATAGACGTTCTACAGGTGCAGAGCAGGTGTTGCGCTTATAGGGGCTACGAATACGAGGTTTTCAACCGCTTATGCGATCGCACCAGAGTATCTGCAACAAACTATGCAGTGACTTGTCATTCCTTTTTTAACGAACCTCGAATTGAGCTGAAAATCCCTACATTTCCCACCCCTGGACTGCTAAGACTTCATCTCTAGACGGTTTTAAAGAAGAAAGAGTATCACGGCTGAGGTGAGCGGTACGTAGACGCGAGATACTGTGCCATGGGGGCTGATGAGTCGGGCCATTGCTACTATCGATAATGCCAAACTCACCATCACAGTGACTACATACTTGCATATGGCTCCACATAGCAGTCGCTTGAAGGCACGATGGTCGGGCTCTTCTCCGTTCCCACGGTTTTAGAGTCTGTAGAAAATTCAATCCTCGACCGTAAAATTGAGTGCATTAAGGAATTCCACATAAAAACTGCTCAACGATATCGAGTAACTTAAAATCAAAGAGAGTTCTAAACCAAAAAAAAACTGGAAAACTCTTATCGCCCATTGTGTATGAGCAATATCGAACGAGCGCGATAAGGTTAGCCGCTTTCTTGGTTCGCCTTAGCCATGCTTCGCGGCCGCCGCCCTTGAGCGACCGATATCGATTCGGTGCCGGCAGGCGCGCGCCAATGCAGACTCTGAAGGCGGCTGTAGATCGATGCAGACCGCACTCTTGCCGAAAGGGGTATGTGTACGAACGTGCGTCCGAGGATGCGCGCGGCAAATTGCGCGGCGAAGTTCGTAATGGTTTGCACGAGTTCGGCGCCTATCATTGGGGCCCAAATTTGAAA